TCCAATATGGCGGATCCAAGATGGCGGCCAAAAATGTTTACCCAGTCAAAATGAAGTACTTACTACACTACAATGATCTGACGTGGTCCGAAGTTGATATCTTAAGAAATGTAGAAAAAAGTAGGGGGGGAACTCATTTAAAATTCACCCTGTATATATAATACGTGAAGCCGTATTTTGTTAACGCAACTCCTCCCTTATTTGTGGACCAATTTCAACGTTTAAGGTGTCAAAAGATTCTTCTCAATATGTAGTTTTGCAATAAGGTTTTAGAACTTTAAAATGTCTACTCTTAAGGGCGCGAGACCCTCTAAAAGGTCGGGTTTTCCCCATAAGAAATACACAGAACAAATTTAAAAACAAAAAACAGCTGTTTATAAAAAGAAACTCATTAGCTTTTTGGGTGTAAATATTGATGTTTTCATATTCAGTAGGTTAAGACCAAGTTAAACAGTTAATCAGTTTTGTTGGAAGAACGGAAAATGCCTGAAGTTCACAGAAGAAATATTGAAAACGGGAGGAGGAGACAATAAGGTATCTTATGCGTATTAGGAGAATAGAGAAAGAGAGGCCTGGTCTAACAGATACACATCCATATACACATTCACTTGGTGAGATGAATAATATTTGCCAGTTCTGCTATGCAACTTACTTTGGAAGTGAAAAAATATACGAAGCACATAGTGTTGTCACGATGGTAAAATAAACTTGCCTAATGTCAGATCAAATGAATGCACGAAAGACATGTTTACTTCTGACACTGACAGATCTCAAAAAATTTAGTACAAACAATAATAATGCCTTGACTATGATAAGTTCAATTAGTAAGATTATACCAAATCTTGGTAGACCTTATGTTTTTATTGTAAACTTTTGTATTACTCGCTCTACTTTATTGAGGAAAAACACAAATGGATTGTTTACTTCTAGGTTATGTTGCCAGTTCCTCGGACAAACTTATACAAAGTTTTTTGACTGAATTTTAGTGGTAATATTAGACATAAGTGAAGGAATTAGTATTTATGTATTCAACGATCGAGTAGTTACAGTCAAGTTTATTTTTATGATTCAGGAGAGGCAAATAATATACGCTGTTCAAAAAGAGAAAATGAAAATTGCTATCCAAATCTTATAGCTACAAGAGTTATCCAACCTATTTCGACAAATGAATCCATACTTTCAAAACTTTGGGACAGGTAGCCTATTAAGAGAGAACGTTCTGATGCGGGTCATATACTGTGACTAACACACAACACGTTAAAATACGTTAACAAACTATCAATGGTGTTGCTGCTTTAGCCTATTCAAAGCAGATTATGGCTTTCCAGTTGATAACCCAGAGTTTGTGGGTAAAAAATGGAGCACATTAAATGGTTCATACATATCATTCCAATTTTCAGGATTCTCTACGGAGAAAATTCGTTTGATTAGGGGGATGTCTAGGCAACAGTTTTCTTAAATTCTCAATGCTGGAAAAACTTTGTTGCAACATGTTAGCTCGAATTGAAGCAGATCGTTTAGCATTCATTAGAAGTTATCAGTTAAAACTGAGAGCAGAAATAATGTAGGTGAACCTTGACGACACAAAAAGAGATATTTAAAATTAGTTTTCTAACAAGTGTGTTCTAAGAGGTGTTTAAACAACTCTAATATGTAACTAGAATTACTCAAATTTAAGCATAACGTTTTCCTCGGCGTTATGTTTCATACTATGCGGCTCATTGAGCCGCACGGGTTCTCTAGTAGTATAGATTGAACGTTGTATTCATTTTCAGAATCAATTTCATCAATTCTTTTTACATTTTTCCTTGAATACTGTAATTCCAGTATTCGTTTCGCGATACAAACCTTTTCTATGTGTCCATCTTTATGACAATACCTGCAATTTAGCTCATCTATCAATCGGCAATTTTGTGTTTCATGGTTATTCCTTCCACAGTGCAAACAGACGTCTGAAAATCCCAGTCTTTGTAGCCTTTTGTTTTTGTTGTCTTTCTTTTTGCTTGAGTCATTGTTGAAATAGTTTATGGTTGATAAATTTTTGTTTTTAGGTAGGGATGGACGAGATTGGATTTTTAGTTCGAGACGAGACGACATTTTTTATTTCTCATAAAATTTCGAGATGGGATTTCCCTTCTCATACACAACGGGAAATGCACGTTCAAAATTTTTACCTGATTTTGTAACATTGTTAGATGACTGTTTAAATACAAAAATAATGATAATAGGCAAGAATATTTACAATCTTTTATTAAAAAACATCAGCATAAAATCTTTTTATTAATCACGCCTAACTAATTAAAAATGCCTACGATTAGGAAACATAGTAATATCAGTTAGGATAGAGTTCAACTTATCCTAAAATAAAATAAATCATAAAATAAAAGCAATATTAATTTTTATAAAATAGTTACTTGTTTGGACTTTTTATAGTAATAAAACATTCCTCACACTGCTTACACTTAACAAAACTTCTTAAATGTTATTTAAGTAATATTTACATTTAAAGAATTAATTAAATAAGAACGCCTTCGTAAAGGAAACGCAACTACAACACGCTCCTGTATTGCGGGTATTGCATTGACTTTCTGCAGGCGTTTTTAATTTTTTTTTTTTTTTTTTTATTCTCGTCTCGATAAAAATTTCGGCCAAAAAGAAATCTCGTCTCGTGTAACGAGACTTAAAATTTCCCGAAATTTCAAGACTTGACCATCCCTATTTTTAGGTCCAATTTTGTTCTTTGTTGTTTTACAGATTTTGTGAATGTCATTTTGATTATTATTAGTATTTAAAATCTGGTTGTCAAGTTTTGATGCCCCTATAGCCAGGGCGATTTCTAAGGCTTTTTCAAATGATATTTCACCCAGTTGTAAGAGTTTTTCTCTTATGTCTGAGTCATATAAACCTCTGATGAATTGAGCCCTGAGCATAAGATTTATAACTGATTTTGTACATTTTCCTTCATTACACCCAGATTTGAAATCTGCTGAACAAGCCAGTTGTTTGAAGTCTGTAACATAATTTGTGATTGATTCATTTCCATCTTGTAAACGTGATAAGAATTTGTGCTGTTCTGTAAGTATTTTCTTCTTTGGGCTTAGGTGCTCATTTAGTAATATCAGTTAACTCTTGATATGTTTTTGAGTCTGGTTTGTCTGGAGATGTTAGACTACAGATCAGATTGTAGTGCTTAGCCCCTAAGCAATTGATTTAAAATAAACCTTTCAATTGTTCTGTCTCTGAATCATTGTCTGTCAATCCTTTTATTTAAAAAAATATATCTAAACGCTGAGTGTAGCTTTCAAACGTTTCCTTACTTTCATCATAAGCATCAAACATCAAGGCATTGCTCTTTAGTAGTTCCTTGGTACTATGTTTTGATCTAGGCTGTTCTGTCTGTTGAATTGAATGTTGTGTCATAAATGTCATAAAATTGTTCAAAGTAGGTATAAGGTCTTGTATTTCAGTCATTTTCTTCCTCGTCGCCAAATTATTAAATACAAAATAATACAAATTTATATGAACACAACTCTTGATACATGTTTATTTCTTAATAATAAAAGGTAAACATTGAATTATTTACAATATGTAAATTATTCCAGTCATATGATTAATATTAAAGTAAAAGATAGATTCTTTGAATATATAACAGCCTTCATCTCTGGCGACGCAATGCCCGCCCGCATCTTAGACCTTCCGGGACTCAAAAATCTTAGACCTTCCGGGACTTGAATCTTAGACCTTCCGGGACTCGAATTTTAGACCTTCCGGGACTCGAATCTTAGACTTTCAGAAACTCTCATTTTATAAATATTTATTTACAAAATTTACATTGTGCGCCCAAGGTCTAATCCCGCAAGGTCTAAAACAGTATCAGTGGATGAGTTTTTTGCATTGACTGTACTCTTAGACCTTCCGGGACTTAGACCTTCGACATACTCTCAGATTAGACCCTGAGCTAACAAGTATCAAAGTGTGTCGAAGGTCTAATTAGACCTTCCGGGACTTAGACCTTCAGCATTACTCCCGATACAACAACGCTTCAATATACAAAATTATTTCTTTTTTAAGCTCGACAAAATTGTTTGAAGATAAATGATGAAATTTTGTGTTTTTAGGGTCAAAAATGGGAAAAAAATAATTTTTACCCTATAAAACCCCATAAACCCCCGTTCCAATAGTCCTATTATGCTGGTTTGCGACCTCGTTTGAATAAACAGAGGTTTACACGTTTGTACCGAATTTCATCAAAATCAGATAATTTTTGTTCGAGTTATCACGCTAACGGACACACATATGGGAAATTATTGCCATATATATGGGAAACTCGCTAAAAGCAAGATGTAAACAGGTGTTTGACACAGTTTGTTGTTCTACTTTGGTAAATTTAAATAAAACATTACTAAGTTTACATAATAACTTCTAACAAGATAACATTTTTTAAGCGGAGTAGAGGCCCCCCGCAATCGTGGACTTGGCCAGTCTGGGTCTGACTGGAGTCACTACTCTTTGGTAAACATTAAAGAAAAGTATGCCATCAAGATGGCTGCTTGTTGCTGGTTTGTTGGTCACACTGTCTCGACATGGTTGGACTCGTTAAATAACCCCATCTGATTTGATATAATTTTACAGCTAACCAACCAATCAATCATATGACCAACATAACAACACAAAAAACTGCAAAAACCAGTTAAAACAGAGGCATAATTTTAAAAAACAGATTGGTGACTCCAGTTATAATCCATTTATCTCTATGGAAGGGGTCGTTATATCGAGATAAAAACGAAGACAATTCGTTAAGCCGAGGTTACGTAGGTACGCTATGTAGTTGCTGGCAATAATAAATTCCTTATAATGAGGTGACTTATATTAGAACAGAATATAAGTTTATTGTCACAATAAATATACGTTTCAAATGTTGAAAAAAATATCTAAAAATGGATCGAAATAGATCTATAAGTTACCAAACAATAAACAGTAATATTAACAGTAGTACTTACCGGCAGTAGGTAGTTTTCAGCAGGTGTTAGATCCTTGGAATATAATACAATCCACTCCTCCAGTTCTTTGGTATTCTGGGAGGAAAATGTTGCTTTGTTTGTTTGTTTGCTGATCGCTAGCACTATGTCTACCAACATGGTTTGTATCCTCGTCAACTTGTCTGTGTACGGGTGCTGACTGACAATAGCATTCTCTCGAGCCAATCTATAAATAAATACATGTTGATATGAAGTAGTACCATTGACTATTCCTTCATCATCCGAAAGACCATTCAAATTAGTTAATTAGAGTAACCATTAGTGAATTTGAGAAAGCTTAAGTTTCTGCAAAATGTTAACACCAATTTGTTGCCACTTCCCAGTACATTTTGTTTGAAGTTAATTTTTGGTTATGGTGAGTATACACTACCTAATTAAGCCGTTATTGTGGACATTTTCTGTCATGACTATAATAACTATCTTTGGGTTATACTACTGTCATTGAGATGGCGAATGTCCTCACTAATGTCTTAGGTAACGTTGCTAGTACACTAGTAACTGAAGAGAGTGAATGTGTCCCCCCCTCCACCAGTGCCAGCATTCAAGTCTGGTTAAGGGCTGTTGGAAGAACCCCTTACACCAACGTTGCAGTCCGAGCTCAGGAATAGTGCTTCTGCGTCAGGAATATCTTGATGCAGAGTAGCATCGGAACCTGGCTCCGAGACATGGAGGAGACGATTAAAGCTATGCTGGGCACCTTCCGGATACAGAAAGCTGTAAACCAAGTGGTAAAAAACGGCATGGCCAAACTAGGGGATGACCTTGGTTTCGTCTTTGCCTGCTGGCTGGTGAACAAGGCGGCCATGGAGAAGATGATAGTGAAGGTAGTGTCCATGCCTGACGACAGGGTGCTGCCTTCCAAAAAACGCATAAGGTCATCCACTTCTGAAAGCCCTCCAAAAAAGGAAGAGGTTGTCCAGACCACAAGGCCTAAAGTTAAGGCTAAAGCGATCTGGATAGACAGCGTCTCCCGCGCCCAGGTCTTTCTCGAATGTAGTTGCTTTCTCAACAAAGCGTCTGCACCCTCAGCAACCCGTGACCCTTCCTTGAGTAAGTTCCCGTAAGGGGTCAGTCATTGAGACACCATCTGGGGCTGTATGTATCGGCTGTACCATCGGCTTCTTACTCGAAAGGACCAACATTGCCCAAACTGGGCCCGGATTGGCCCCCGCTCTTAAAAAGTCGCGGCCAAAAAAGCCCAGGATGGTAGCAATCTTGGTTAAACCCTCATGGGAGAGATCATTGCCAAAGTCTTGGTTGTAATAAGAGATACCAGTGACCTTTGCATTTCAGCAAATCGGCACCCACTATTTGCCAAGGTCTGTCCGGATAAGGAGTTGGTATCAGCGGCTCAGCTCTCGTAGCGCGATTTTCTGCACATATCTTGCAATTTTCTACTAGTTCTTTGATTTGTTGAGAAAGACGAGGCCACCACACAGTCAGTTTTGCAAAAGTAAAAGATCTACATTTTGTTATGCCTTGATGTCCTTCATGAATACTTCTTAGTACATTAGCTCTTAAAGAATTTGGTATTATAATACGACTTCCAAAAAGAAGTATACCATTTTGCTCACTTATATCTTCTCTATGATACCAGTAGGGCAATACATCCTCTGAAATCTTAGATTTTTCTGGCCAACCTTTCACACAATACTGTGACACATGTTTTAGAGTTTCATCTTTCATAGTTTCTTGATTTATTTCTCTCAACCTTTCATCCGATACTGATGGTCGAGTAGTGTCAATATTTTGTATATATGCAAGGATTTCCTCTGTAAGTTCCCATTCCTCTTCTTCAGAGTTCTCTGTGTCTCGAGACAGTGCATCAGCCAAAATCAACTGTTTACCGGGCGTGTAGGTAATATCATATGTATATCTCATCAGTCGGAGTCGTATTCTCTGAAGCCTAGGTGTGGCAAAGCCATAACATTTCCCAAAAGACTGTTTGTAACATATGTAATTAATACCAGATATTGTGAATATAAATACCCCCGCCGCAGCAAACCTGCAGACTAAGCAAATTTCCATTTGCCTGATTGGATTTACACTAAAATGTCTACTTAAAAATTTAACATTTATTTCCTATTTAAATACAGTATTAGCCATAATAAACAGTACTAAAATGGAAACAGCTGATTCAGTTTCAGTACTGTTTATTTTGGCTAATACTGTAGAATTAGTTTAACAGGTACTTAGGTTTGCTGCATCAGGGAGGGTAAAACTTATTTTTTTTGTAAAATGTTAATAGTTAGTAAGAAATAAAAATATTTTCCAAATTTGATCAAAATATGTTCATAAACAAGCAAACTACAACAGTTTACTTGTTCTCCATAAGAATAACATGGGAATTTAAAATTTAAATGTTTTTGTAATTTTCTCCGTAACCATTAGGCGCATAGTAACACTTCAATATACTAAATTATTCGTTTTTTTAAGCTCTACAAAATGGTTTGGAAAGAAATTGCTAAATTTGATGTTTTTTGGGTCAAAAATGGGAAAAACCTATTTTTACCCCATAAAACCCTCCGTAAACCCCCGTTCCCATAGTCCGATCATGCTGGTTCGCGAACTCGTTCAAGTTTATCCCGCCTTACACCTTCAAACCAAATTTGATCAAAATCGGACAAAAATTACTCAAGTTATCGTGCGGATGGACATATATATATATATATATATATAGATATATAAAAATTTGAACGAATGGTGTTTTTGGCCTCTGGGGACATCAAAATGAAAAAGTAAATCGGTCCCGGGCCTAGGTCTTACCATGAGACCTACGGTAATAGCTACTTCCCTATAGGGAAATTCGCTAAAAGAAAACAATTGAGTGGTACTAGTTGAACAAATAGCAAGAAGATGATGTTAACTGAAACTTAAACTACTTTAATTGTCAAAAATAAAACTTATTTCACGCTTCTACATTTATATACTTACTTAATTTAGAACAAAACTTATAAATCCGCGACAATTGGTAGCAGAGCTGGAAAATGACCTCAAGACTACTGAAGAAGATTGATACCTTGAGCAAGAGATTGGGCAATACCATTACCAAGGCCAATTTACTTCTACAAGGGGAGGACTCTTCCAAACGTGACCTCCTAGGGACACTGACGACTTTAGACGGATATCGTAGGCGTCTGGAAGACTTACTTGAACAACTTGATCAGATCGAAATCGATGACTCAACGAATGGAGGGACAAGTACGTCAGTGGGAGATCCATTTGAACTAGTTCTGAATTGCGAAGAAGTAGTTGCAAAACTACAGGTAAGAATAGATTCCTTCACACCTCATTATGCAGACAAACAATGTAACTCCCATGATCAAACTGTAGTTTCAGAACCTAAACGTTGTTTGGTCAAACTACCTAAACTTGTCATCCCAACCTTTGATGGCGACGTCCTCAAATGGCAGGAGTTTTGGGATTCCTTTTCCTCCTCCATTCATAGCAATGATGCTCTTACTGTGATTGACAAATTTAACTACAGTATTTGAATTCATTACTTGAAGGGGAAGCTAAACGTTGTATATCCGGACTCCCACTAACATCATTAAACTATGATACAGCAATTTCTTTACTGAAGAGTAGGTTTGCAAACAAACCGATAATTGTAAACTCACACTACAAGTCACTAATAGAAATTCCTCCTGTTAAGTCTAATGACACAAAATTCTTGCGTCGTACCTTCGACATAATTGAAAAACATATGAGATGCTTACAAGCCTTAGGGGAGGATACAAATTCAAACTACTTCCTCACACTTATTACTAGTAAGTTACCTCTCAATGTTCTACTGAAGGTTGAAGAACTAAACTTAGGCGAAGAATTAAACGTAAATCGACTTTGTAATACAATTCAAAACATTCTAATCGTTAGAGAGAAATCAGAGATGCTGTTGGGAATTTCTACTAAGTCTAGGGATGTGACTGTGGAGCATATCATTCATAAACCTACCTCAACTGCCGAGACCCTGTTAACTGGTGGTGTGATAGGTCCTGCAATCTAAGACGATGTATATTTTGTGAGAAAGACCATTGGAGTGATTAATGCACAGCATTCAGCACAGTAAGTGAGCGTAAGGACAAAATAAAGGGGTTATGTTTTATTTGTTTAAAAAGGGGACATAGCCTTAAAAATTGTAAAACTTTCAAGGCTTGTGTTTTTTGTAAGCAAAGCAAAAATCACCACAGGAGCCTTTGCCCTAAACAGTTTCCACCAGGTATCACCAAAGATGCTGTGAATTCCCAGACTGTTCCTACGGGACGAGAGTTACAAGTACCAAAACCAATTGGAGGCTTGTCACACTTGACCACAACTCAACTAAAATCAACTAAGTTATCGTCTCTTCTTGCAGTTAACGAACAGGTAATTTTACAAACTGCAATTGTAAATGTTACAAATGAAGTTAACAAACTAACTCACACTGCTAGACTTTTATTCGATTCAGGTACTGTAGTCAAAAGTCATACATGTCAAAGATATTAGCTTCTAAGTTACAATTAAAATCCGAACAACATCAGATTTTAAATGTGTTCACTTTCGGAAACAAAAGTTGTAAAACACTTGAGACACCTGTTGTTTGTGTTGGTATATCGCTTTTAAATAAAGACACAATCAACCTACAAGCAAATGTTGTGCCTCACATAACTGGACAAGTCCACTCAAGCGGGATGATAGATATTATTGATCAAATAAAATCAATATATCCGAACTTAACTTTGGCTCAAGGTCAACACCTGAACTCCGAAATTGACCTTCTTATTGGAAATGACTATTACTTGGACTTTATAAATGACGACAAAATTGAGGTAAGCAATGGACTTTTCCTTTTAAACACTAAATTAGGCTGGGTCATCAGCGGAAGGAGCTTAATAAACTCTATTGAAACTGACTCTTACTCAACTTCATTCTTAACTACGGTCCAGCCATCTAACTTGTTTGTTCCTAAAGCTTACTTTCATTCTGCAGATTCTGAACTTGTAGAACAACTTGACGTCAAAGACCTCTGGAGTCTTGAAACTTTAGGTATACATGATAATCCATTTGAAATTGATGATGATATTGCTCTAAAGCAGTTTAATAATACTATCCAATTAGTCGAGAATAGGTATTCGGTTTCTTGGCCATGGAAAGAATACCCCCCAAACTTGCCGGATAATTATTTTC